AGATAGATAGATAGATAGATAGATAGATAGATAGATAGATAGATAGATAGATAGATAGATAGATATAGATTAAGGGGATAACCAGCTTTAAAAGGGAAATGCCTGTAGCCTATTTAAAAGCTTTGCCTTTCCCCATACCCTTGAAGGGATTAATGACCCAACTAAAGCCATATCCCCTTTCCCCATTTCCTAATGAAATTAGGGTTTTGTTCTGAAGATGGAGATCTCTTTGATTATTGCTCTGTGAAGTCACACCTGAGTTAACCCTTTTGGGGAGGAATCAGAGAAAGATTAAATGGCTTTAGGAAACTGATTCCTCAAGGGCATGCCTGAAAGTCAAGGGAATATTGTTCTAGATTGCTAAAGCAAAATATTAACTTTTATTTTACAATATTTTATCATATTGTAAAATTTTCCTACTCCAAGATTCTTGTAAATGTTACATTAAAATGTCTTATAAGTTGGGGAGTTATGGCAGAGGGCATAAGGGGTTTTCTCCCATTTTTCCCTCTAAATTGAAAAAAATGCTTCATTTTAATTGGGGGGAAATAAATTAATAAAGATGGTTTCGGGCAGACTTGTACCTAAAATGCATAGGATAATATTAATTTTTTTTTTACTATGTGGCCCCAAAAGACCGTTTTCCAGTGGTAGATGTTCCCTATAAGCACTCCACTGTGTGTGTGTGTACGTAGTGAGAGCTTACCACTAGAAGTGTGAGCCGTAATCATACTTTGCCCCCTCATTATTCTGCTCAAAACCTGACCTTCAGTAGCATCCTCCTGGATTCATAGAATGTCAAAGCTGGAAAGAACTTAAGAGCTCATCTTGTCCAGCAGTTCTCAAACTTTTTTTTGTTTAGAGCCCCTTTACACTCAATGCTTTTGTTTATGTGAACTAAATAAAACCAAGACAGCTGGGTGGTTCAATGGATAGAGCACTGAAGCTAGAATCAGGAACCCCTCCAGCGTCAAAAACTTATTAGTTGTGTGACCCTGAGCAAGTCACTTCCCCTCGTTTCAGCCTCAGTTTCCTTATCTGTGAAATGATGATAATAATAGCTCTTCCCTCCCAGGGTTTAGTGAAGATAGAATGTGTACTGCTTTGCAGTCCTTAAAATACTATGTAAATGCTAGCTTTTGTTATTAATAAGAGGTGTTAAATTCTGGGACTTTGAAAAGAATTTGTTACGTGACAACTAGTAAAGAAATCATAGGATAGCGGGAGATTTCATGAGGGGTTTCAAAGAGATGAGAGGGGTAATTGCCACAGAGAGAAGAGAGAACTGTGTTTTTCCATCACATTAGGCTGCTCTAATTGACGTAGTGGAAAGAGCAATTGACCGAGGATGAGGAGGATGAGGACGTACCTCCGGTTCTAATCTGGGCTTGGCCACTAACCAGCTTCTTGACCTTAGACTATCACTTTAACTCCCTAAGCCTCTGTTTCCTCCTCTGTAAAATAAAGGTCACTAGGTGACCTTCAATCTCTAACATTCTGAGTCTTTGTTGCTCTGAGGTTTAGAAAAGGCAACAGGATGAGCTGCTTTGGAAAAAAAAAATGATGTCTCAGCAGAAGGGTAAAAATTAAGTGCAAAATGTATACTTTTACACATTCATCCCCATCCAGTTGGTGGTACACAAATCTGTAGGCTTAAGATCAAAGCCAAGGAAAACATTTAAAAGGAGGTATGTAATTTTGGGGGTTCATTTGTGGATCTACATATCAAAGAGCCAGAAAGAACCAGCCTCCTAATTCTTTCCAATCCTGAGGAAACCTTTCAATGTTCACTGTCCAGAGCTTTTTGAGAAACTGGGCAATAAGCTTCTGAAATCTATTGGACTGCTTTATCTGTATATCTGTAGGACTATCTGTACAGCCACTTCCTGCATCCTTACTACTTCCCATTCTAGTCATGAAGACTGGAATAGATCGATCATTTCCTAGACCAAAAGTGAACAAGAGGAAGTCTGCAAGCAAAGAAAGCACTGAATTTTTCTTCCTTCTCTTGTGAAAATAGTATTTCTCCCTGGGATTCAGCTTTGTCTTCCATTTGAAAGAGATACCTGCTCGAGAGATGACGTGGGGCCCTGAATTTGAGCTCAGAAGAGCTGAATTTGAGTCCCACCTCTTCCTTTTAATTAGGTAAAGAACCTCCGGGAAGGCCACCCCTGGTGCTCGGCTTCTTAATCTATAAAAAGAGAGATAAAGATTGTACTTCTCTCACAAAGATGACGTAAAGACTGGTGGAAACAAATGGCGCTTTACCTTAGACGCTTTAGTTATCCTTCCAAAACTGAGAATGGAAGGGTAATGGAAGGAGTGATGGTTAGCAAAGCCTTTTAAGGAGAGAACATAGAAGGAAGCATTTGCCTCGAAAGTGCGTTCTTTTCCTTTCACATCCTGGTTTTCAAAGCTGTAACAATTTGGTTGGGTGAAACAGTAGAGAGAGAGAATACTGGGCTTAGAGCCAGAAAGACCTGGGTTTAAATCCTGCTTCTAGGGGACAGCTAGGTGGCACAGTGGATAGAGCACCTGCCCTGAAGTCAGGAGGACCTGAGTTCAAATCCGGCCTCAGACCAAACACTTGACACTTACTAGCTGTGTGACTCTGGGCAAGTCGCTTAACCCCAATTGCCTCACTAAAAAAAAAAAAAAAAAATCCTGCTTCTAAAACTGAGCCTTGGTTTCCCCTTCTGTAAAATGGGAATAAAGCCCACACAGTCCCTGCCTCACAAGGTTGCTGTGAGACTCCACGAGATTAATAGCGTAAACCACTATATAATTCTCAGTCATCATCAAGGCTCCATTCAAAAACTTCTTCAAAACTTCAGAACGCTCAAAAAGGTTTTTGGTTTGTTTCTTCCTCTTTATAACAGATCTTCCTCTCTTACTTGACCCACTCCACCCACCATTAACGATCCTCCGTTCCTTTTTCTTCTTTAGGCTTGGTGCTTTTAGACAGGGTCAATCCTAGGATCTCCTTTGAATTGCTCGTAAACCTGCTGAGAGACTGTGGGGATTTTCGATTAGGTCTGTTATTTCCTTTCCTCTGCTGCTGTTCACCAAGTCAAGTTCTCTCTGAAAACACAAGTCCTTGACAGTAGAACTCAGAAATGCTTACTAGTTTGAATCTGGGCCAGCTTCCTGAGCCTGAAATGTAACAGATTGTTCCTCCTTCCTGCCGAATAAGTTGAGGTCTCACTGTTCATCATGAAC